CTGAGTGCCTGCAGTTGCATGGGTGACCCACATGCCCACGTGCATCGCACGGGGTTTGCGACCCTCTCACCATGGAATGCGACTGGTCAAGTTATTGCAGTAGAAGAGGATAAGGAGAATAATGGAAAGTAGGCCTGCCTTCTCAGTGTGGCCAGTGACTCACCTCCTTGCGTCCAATCGACGGTGACAACTAGGCATTGAGTTGGTCTACACCATTGATAGGCAGTGTTTTCCTCACTCTTGTTCCGTGGAAAATTGCCCAAAAACTTGGTCACACCGGAGTTCTCATCCCGCACCAGATACTCTGAAGTGGGTAATGGCAAACAAGAAATCTTACTGCATAACGGTGGTTGTTCCAGTATAGGTCTGGTGCCTGTCCACACACACATAATTTCGTCGTTGATGTAGAACACGACCTGCGGTTGGAAGGGGGACACGCGATAAGGTTGTGAGTAAGTGAGGTAGGTGAATGTGTGAGCAGGTGAATGAAGTAGGAAGTAATGAGGAGGAAATCTGATCATACCTGATCTTTGGGGCCTGCGTTTCGTATACCGAATTCTATTTGCACATCTGAGTACCCCTTCCGAAATCGGGACAGTGGGATTGACGTGGCCAAATCGATGCCAGCTGTGTGTAAATGAAGTTGACGACTTTACTTTCCACCACTCCTCGAGCAGGTACAAAGGGACTCAGAGGTGAAATGAGCTACCTAACCCACAATGCTTATTGCAAATGGTCGAATGGAAATCATTTGCCCGCTTGTCAGGCTGCACTAAATGCCGATGTTGAATAATTCGTGCCATTGCGTCGTCAACTTCATCCACTCACCTGGTCCGTAATCCGGCAAAGTACAATCCGGTATGAGGTACGTTGTCGAGAAGGGCAACTTTCCTTTCTTCACTTGCAGTAAACTGTCACGATCTATCTTGAAGAGAGTGATGTTGGCGCTCCCTACAACATGCACACAAGAGGAGAATGTAAGCCACGAGAGGATGAGGTCCTCCGGTCTTTGCCTCCGTGCACTCACACTGCGCACTGACAAGGACGACATTAAAGTGTAAATCGACATTAAGCATTCCACCTACTACAAGGGCGGGGTGCTGCGTGGCAAGGAGTGGAGGTCGTGAGGTGTCGCTCACCTTCGCTAAGCTCGCAGGGCTCACCCACCATCTTTTGGTTGGCATAGCATTTGTTGTCTCGAATCTCCAACGCGTGTGCTGCACTGTCGCCGATCTGCAATTCTATCGCCTGAAATGCAATGCAATAAGGAATGAACTTGGAATCGCACTGCATAAGTGAGGCTGAGAAAAATTGAGATGAGAAGAGTGCACGCAAGTGGATCTCAGAGAAAGCGATCACCATCGGTCTGACATGTTAGTGGCATGGAATAGGCAAGTGGTTTGCACATACGGATCCATTGGGGAAGCGGAAGTACATGGTTGGTGTGGTTCCATTGGACACTGCAACAACGCGAGAACCCCACAGCACCGGATCCGCTTCTGTGACACAAAGGTAGATACGCATTGCTTGATTGTCATTTAAAACAACACAACTCCTCTTCCCACAACGCACACACAAACACACACAACCACACTTGCTCACACCCAAGGTGCTCAACACGGATCCACACAAGTCTGCTATTCACGCTTCTAATGACTCCGTCCACCACCCATTCCACGTTGCCGTGAGGTGGGCGTGGAGGGTGAAGGAGTAAGCAAAGATAAGGTGAACATGCGCAAGATGGCAGTACGCGGCGTCTCACTTAGGAAGAAGTAGAGGCATAGACACGTACCAGCAGAGCAGAAGGCGATGAGTGTCAGAAGGAAGGCGTATTCTATCATGCCGCTTAATCCGTGTGCAGTCAAGAGCCTCGTCTGCTTTTATACCATCATCCTCCTCCTCCTCCTCAACTGGTTCTCGTCATTGCAGTTGGTTGAGTGGGTGAAACTGTGGCAGCAACAATACGTCACTGCCATCGCGAACGCGATTGTTAGAACGTGGCGCTTGCCGTAGGTCCTTACTGCTTTGCGACGTGCAAAGATGACCTATGACAACGTGTACACCAG